AAAGTCCTGAGTTTGAAAAAAAAAAAAAAAAAGATATTAGCAAAAAGATCAGGAACACGTGGGGCTTGTGGGCTAGCTCAGTTGTTTAAGCACCTACTGGGGCAAACCCAGTCAGGCACAAGGGACTGCGGTTCAATCCCCAGCTACCAGACCCACCCTTAAGACAGCCTAAGCCAGCCAAAAAAAAAAAAAAAAGAATCAAGACTGCATCTGCCACTCTGCTTCAGTCTCCTGTAATCTAGAAGTCCTAGCTCATGCCATCAGCTGTGACATTGGCCAGCTGCCCTGCAGAAAATCCCTACTCTGGGATTCAGGGTGTAGTACTTGCCTGGTATATTCCAGGATGCTGGATGGGATACCCAGCATTGCAGAAAAAGAAAGAATAATCCCTACTCTGTTTTGTTTCTGAAATGGGCTCTTGCTGTGTACTACTGGGGCTGACCTTGGGCCCCTGCCTCAGCTTCCCAGGCAGCTAAGACTACAGTACACAACACTTTTTCTGGGTTGGTCTAGGCCTCATGTGTGAAGAGTGAGTCTAGAGTGTGTAACTCTAGCACCCTTGCAGTAACCCTTGCCCCTCTGCTCTTGACCGTAGCTGGGGGACTCCTAGTATAGACAGTGCCTCACCAGAACCTTTCTATGTATTAGGGAATCCAGAGCATTTTGACATGAGCACCAAGAAAGTGCAGCTCCTGGCCTCGACTTTGCTGGCTATAATTCTTTATGGAAACAGAGTGAGCTGTAGTGCTTCCTGCCCTGCCTGCCTCACATGAATCCCTCAGAGAAAGAGTGAGATCTTGCGCTCTGCTCTGACTCCCTGCCTGGGCTGCTCCACACTGAGGGGTCACGGGAGAACTGAGAGGCCTTCTCGGCTGCTAGCTGCCAGGGCTGTGCAGATCTCACACCCATTTTTTAGGCTGCTCTCAGGGCCTATAAATGGCCCCTTCCCAGCCCACAGGGCCTTGGATGTGTGGGGTTGCAGCCATTTTGGCTGCTGCCCGTGATCCACTGCAGCAGCTGCTGGGCTGCCTGGGGCTCCAGATCCTCCTCAATAATCAGCTTTGTGAGTCAGAAGCAGCAGCTGCCCGACTGCCCAGGCCTCTCGGGAAAAGACAAGGACTGGATTAGATGGGAACAGTTAATGGAAAATGAAGAGGGAGGGCAATAAAGAGGGAGGGTGAAGGTTGGGACAGAAGGAGGACCCAAAGATATGTGTCCCCCCTACTCCCTGACCTAGGGCCTTGCTCCCAGGCCATCTAGGAAAGGGCTGGGGAGCCAGATGTGGCAGCACACACCTGTAATTCCAGAGTGCTGAGACTCAGCTGAGGCAGGAGGATCACAAATTCAATCCTGACCTTAGCAATTTATCAAAAGTCTGTTTCCAAATAAATAAAGGGTAGCTAGGGATGTAGAACAGTGCAAAGATCAAAATGCTGGGGACATGAGCCTCCTGGGGAGCAACTGATGTCTAAATTCTCTGGCTCAGTAGATTCTCTAAGGACAGCCCTTGCAGGGCCTGAACTCCATTTACTGTCCCTGCCCTTCAAAACACCCACTTTCCTTAAGAGAATGTGCACCTATCTGGATAATGGGCCCCTATTTTAATACCACCATCGACTCTAGAACATTAGAAACTTCTTGGGCTCAAAAGCCTTGTAGAGAAGTGCTGTGACCCAGAAATCAAGATGTCACTGTGGGCCACTAACTGCCATCCTGGACTTTAGTCTAGAACCTGCTGCTGGGTGACAAAAGGCCCAGGCCTAAATGGGCTGCTGGAGTGGCCTGGGATTAGTCCAGATGCCCATGCCTGGGTCCAGGAGCTGACAGGTGAAGCCAAATCCCAAACACAGGAACAAATAGAACACGTCAGCACACGCCCAGACCCTTCCCCTGGCCGGGACAGCAGGCCTGGCTCTGTCCTCCCAGATACACACAACTACCCTCCCCAGGCTGGGCAGGAGCCACTCTAATGACACAATTAGTCACCCACTTGTCAAGCAAAGAGCCTGCTCAGAGGGGGGTCTGGCATAAAGAAAAATGCCCCTGAGGCCAGTCCCCTCCTCTCCCCTCTCTCCAGTGTTAACCATTGTGTCCAGGAGAGGTCAGAATGGGCATCTGCAGGCACTGACACTGTCCCTGCTGCCCTCCCCACTACACAGAGGCTCTCAGCGACAAAATAAAGTGTCACAGTCTGTAGGGAGACCCGAAATGGTGGTCAGCACTAGCCAAGGGGGTGGTGTCCTGGGACTACGGCACTAAGGGGTTTCAGGTCTGAAGAGATGACTGGGAAGGAGCAAAGGGTTGGCTGGGAGTGGGCAAGGGATGTCCTGTAGTGCCAGGGCCTAGTTGGTGGCCAACACCAGAGTGGCCCTGGGCAGAGGTGGAGAAGGCCCACCTGAGGGTCTCTGAAGCTCTGAGTGGCAACCCTGAGAGGGCGTGGGGGAGCACATTAAGGCCCACCTGCAGCCTGAAAAGCCTAACCAGCAGGGTAAGAGACCACTCCACAAGCTTTGGGAATAGTAACCACGCATGTGGTTTAATACCTGGATGCAGGCAGGCAGACAGCAATAAGGCTGGGAACAAAGAGAAGTGGGCCCCTTCTATTGGGATGGAAAGAAGGCAGGGGATATTAGATAGGAAGATTTCAATAAACATCTGTGGTCAAAGTTCTATGGCTGTCTTGCACCTCAGTAGTCAGGGTCCTTTCAGGTTGGTCCAAATTTTCAAGACCTCTCCAGATGTCCAAGACCTGCAAGACCCAAGACCCGCAAAACTCCTTGACCTATCTTGTTTCCTTCAGGATATCCAGTGCTATGGAAGACCTCTTCATTGCTGAACCGAGTTCCCCCTTAGACTAGTAGTAGCTAGTCTGGCAAGCGGGTTGGGTTTGGGGAGAGTCCAGTTGGATCGGAACCTTACAAAAAGGACAATAAAAACGACTGCAATGGTCATGTCCGGCCCTGTGGGCCTCACAAAACGCCACATCGACTCTGGAATGTAGATTTCAAGTTGGCCTAAAAAAGAGGCAGCTTTCGTTCCCTCCCCTCCCCGAAGTACTCTATTTGCAACATCCAGACAACTCCTATTGCGGGTCTCGAAAGAAGCCACGTGCATGTGGCTTGGGGAACTGGTGGGCGCAGAGGAGGACAGCAGGGACTGAAGCAAAATCCCAGGCTCTCGATGGCCTGCGAGCAGCGAGAGGCCCCACCCGACCCGACCCAGCCGGGGCGGCTCCCCGGCTCCCGGCGCCCAGGGGCGGAGGAGCGGAGGAAGGAAACGAGCAAACTCTAGGAGCTCGTCGCTAGGCGGTACTTTCTGGGGGAGGGTGGCGAGTCTTAGGGCTGAGACTGCACGCCCCGACCCTTGCGTCCCTTCCCGAGGCGGCTGGGCCCGGAGGCTCACGGCAGGACATCAGGGGCGCAGCCCTTGGGGAGGGAAGGGTCCGGTGCATACCTGCCGGGGCTCTGCCGTCAGCTCCTCCACCTCTGCCGGCGCTGCAGCTTGCTCCCCGGGCCCCTCCGGGCCCTCGGGTTCTCCGGGTCCCGCGGGCTCCGGGGCGCAGGGACTGGGCGGCGTCGGGGTCCCGGTGGCCTCCACTGGGGGCGCTGGCTTTGGGGCCTCCCCGCGCCGCAGCACCAACCAGGCAAGCAGCAGCGCTAGCACCGTGATCAGCGCAGGGAGCGCGGCCAGCAGCTCGGCTGGCGCCTCCATCGCGCCCTGCCGCCCGGAGCCGCAGGCTCGCTGGGACCCCTAGGGAACCCGCCGCGCCCCGCCCCGGGGCGGAGCCTACGTCTTACCCCCGCCCCCTACCCGGAGAGGGCGTGACTTACAGGGAAAAAAACCCCTAATTCCAGGGGGGCGCAGGAGCTCAGGCCCTGACCTGGCTGGAAGGTCTGATGCTTTGCGGAACAATTTAATCTGATTATCTGAGCTCAGGCTCCGATTGCAAACCACTGAGAGGTTCTCATTACTCAGATGCCCCGAGTTTATCATCTTCAGGAATCACTTCAGTTGTGCACTGTTCACCTTGGAGCAGTCGGCAAAATGTAGCCGGAGGACAGCAAGGTCGTTAACTCCGGAAGAGCTATGGAAACAGCGGCCGGATTGTTTTTAAGACAAGCAATACCCGAGCAAAGCCTGCCTTTTGCCAGCGCTGTTTACGTGGTGGAGGGTAGGGAGTGAGGGGTGTTTCAACTGCTGGTGCCTCTCAGCACCGGCCTACGGTGCTTCCACCTCTCCGGTGGAGGCAGGGGCTGTCCTCAAAGTTCCCTCCCAGGCAGAAGCCCGCAGCCTTTCACAGGGGCCCTGTGACACAAGGCTGCTTCCCAAAGACAAAATCCATCGCCAGGGCCTGGGGGGTGAACACTTCCTTGCTGGCGTTTCTCTGTACACTTCTGAGACGACAGAATGAGTGAAAGGAAGGCTATAGTTTTTCTTTCCTCCAAACCTTCCCGGGTTGTTGAACAGTGTTACACTAGAAGCAACTATGCTGAAATTAAAATAAAAAGGTACTTCCCTACTATACACCACCCAACCCTGGGCAGTTTATTGGGCTGCCCGACACAGTGCCTCATGCCAAAGGCAGGCTTCCAGCTGAGCAAGATGGCACACACCTGTAGCAGCTGCTACTAGAACCCCAAGGCAGGAAGTTCCTTGAGCCCAGGAGGAGTTTGAGTCTAGTCTGGGCAACATAGTCAGACAGTTTCAAATAAAGGAAAAAGCCAAAAGCAAGGTACCAGTTTTTGCTTAGTGTGCATCTAATAATTTGAGATATAAACTGAGATGCTAGGTGGGGTGCTTCTTTAAAAATACAAGATACAGGGGCTGGGGAGATAGCTCAGTAGAATAAGCGCTTCCCTGGCAAGTACAAGGGCCCGAGTTCAATCCCCGGTTCCGCCAAAAAAAACACAACAGGATACAAGGCTGGCCAAATAGCTCAGTGGATTAAAGTGCCTGGCAGGCAGGCGCAGGGGCCAGGGATTCAATCCCTGGTCGTGCTGAGGAGGGCAATTGAGACTGGGTGTGGTAGCGCATGCCTGTAATCCCAGCTCTTTGGAGGCTGTAAACAGGAGGATCACTTGGAGTCTGATCTAGTAGTGAGACCCTAAACATCTTGTAGACCTCTCCCTAAAATAAAAAAATACAAGATACAGACCTACCGTTGGCTGCTATATGAGGTCTGGTTATGGCAGACTCCCATGCCGCAGGGAACAGCTTCCTCCTGCTGCATCTCATGTGGCTGTAAGGAAGATGCACTTACTTTTAGTGGTTGATGAAAATGGTGTGTTCGTACACACCTGTAATCCCAGCACTTTGGAAGCTGAGGCACGACTGCTAGATCTGAGGTGGGTCTAGCTACAAGTCAATCCTAGAACAGGCAGTAAGAGCCTGTCTCAAAACAAAAAGGTGGAATGGGCTTTGTCCCTAGGCTGCTTCTGGCTTTTGGCCACTGTGGGAGTTCTGGGCAAACCGGGTCTTATTTTAATTCCTTTTGCTCACTGCTTTAAGGTCATTTTTTAATTTAATATACTATTTAAATATATATTTAATATGAAAAGCTAGAGCACCACAAGTGCTTTCTCCCAACCCTAAATTCTGGCTTTGGCCCTCACATATATGGAATGCGTTCTTATCCACCCTTTTCACAAAGTTATGGGAGCTCAGGAATTATAAAGTCAAAAATATACAAATCTTTGTTATTATTATAGGATTTTTTTTTCCATGAATGAAATTACCATGGACCATGAACTTGGAAAAAATCAAAAGGAATTTACAATATTATTTATCTTTAAAGTTCATTTAAGATATATATATATATATATATATATATATATTTTTTTTTTTTTTCCTTTCTTTCTTTTTTGGTGGAACTGGGGATTGAACTCAGGCCCTTGCACTTGCCAGGCAAGCACTTATTCTACTGAGCCATCTCCCCAGCCCTTAAGGTATATTTCTAAGAGGTCTTGTTCTGACAAACCATTGTGTTCTATTGATTTTCTACTGAAAATGACAGAGCAATGCAAAACACAACCCCAAATCCAGTTGCTTTATTTAAAAAGGAACAAGTTTCATCTAAGTGAAAGTTAAAAAATACCAACCCAATGGTAGACCCCACAGGCATTTCTCGGCAGACAACACAAGGGACACAGAACCAAGACTGCATGGTGTTTGACAACTACAGGAGCCAAGTTCTGTGGATTCCATCACCGTGGAGATGAGCAGGACAGGGCTGGTTTCTGGGGGACGGGGCACAGGGCACCTTGGTGATTCCCATTTTTGATCTAACAGTGAGACAAATCTGAGAACTACCAAATTTATACATTGAATTTGTGTTCATCTAGTTTTGCTATATTCATCTAGTTTTGTTGAAAACAATGTAACATCAACAGGACATTTTGACAAAAGCCAAGAGGGAGAAGCCCAACTCCCCAAACCCACTGGGAGAATCAGTGCACACGTCCCAGCCCACACGTCCCAGCAGCTGGTCTGGGGAAAGCTACACACAACTATGAGCCTACAGCTGCGTCTCACATGCTCCTTCTAGGCAGCACTTCTACAACACTGACGGACTCTGGCACCCCATCCCATTCTGTCTAAAATCCTAGGTTCAAGGCTGGGTCCTGGGTTTGTACAGCACACTGACAACTGGCTGTGCACTTTCATTTAAAGGCCTCCAGAAGCTACTTTACAAAGAAACTGTCCAGATGCAGCATGCTGGTGTAGGTCTAGTCATGCCCCTTCGTGAGGAACTGGTCCCTTGTGTTTAGTGAGGACTACACTTGTTTTGGCTGTGAAGTGTGCACACTCTCATCTCCTCCCCTTATGAAGGTCAGCAGCAGCAAGCACAAGATCAGGAACCCAGGCTTGTCCCTGTCATATCTCCTGTATGCAGAGCAGTCTTGCCTTCCAAGCGCTGGGATTACAGGTGCATGTCACCACACCTGACTGTCACTAGAACTTTTGCTGTATGCTCGGATTATTAAGCTGTGGGCAGTGTAGGAATAAAATGTGACTGTGATTGATGTTCCTACCTAGGGGGTCCCCTGTAAGAGCCTGGCCTCAGCATCCCTAAACAACAACCCTGGAGCCACCTGTGCAGGTGCGCTGGATTCTCCTGGCCTGATGGGAGCTGCATTTTCAGGGGCCCAGAGCCCTCTTGATGTCCTGGGTCCTATTCATGTCACTCCTCCCCAGCCTTCCAACACTCCCTTTCCAACAAACAGCTCTTTGGGTTTCAGACCAGTGGCTGTTCTGGAGAATAATCCCTGGAAATAGGCTCTCCTTGAATCCTGCTCTTGCCTCCTGCGGACTTGACTCAAAGGAGGTGCACAGACCAGGTGGGAGAGAAGATGGGAGCTCGGAACACCTGTGCCCCGGCTCCCCCACCTCACTCTGCCTCCACAGTGGAGTGCAGAGTCCTTGGTCTGAATAAAACAAAATACCCTGTAATTAGTTATAGGGTGACACGAGCATCACATAATCTGTGCTGTCCAGCACTGTCAGGAGAGAGGACTGCAGCCCGGTCCCTCCTTCCTGCTGGTGTTTAGCAACCAGGAAGCATCTCTAGCATCTGAAGAACTGGGAAACTTGAGTTTTCAGTTTCAAATTTGTGCTCCATCACCCAGGTCACTGGCAACATGTCCTACTGCGCCCCCTGGTGGCAAAGAGCCCCTCTTTCGGCTGAAGTTTAAGAGGAAGTAGGATACCTCCATAGCAAGGGAAGTGGGGAGACTCTTTAAAAGATGGCAAGAAGTCGTCAAAAGCTGGAGCCGTCGCTGGGCAGGCTGTGCACTCCTCTAATCCAGCTTTGAGAGAGGTTGAGGCAAGTTCCAGGCCAGCCTGGACACAGTGGAGAATTCTTATAAAACAAAGGGGCTGGGGATGCAGTCCAGCGGTACAGTGCTTCACTGGCGTGGGCTCTGGGTCCCATCCCCAGTATTTGGATGGGGCAAAATAACCCCAAAACAAAAACATGAAGATGAGTATCTTCAGTATTACTAGAGCGCTCCAACTTTTGAGGGCCTGACCTGCTCCCAGACACGCACATCCTGGCCCACCTGAGGCCCAGGGAGCTGCCGCTGAGGGAGGGAAGGCCACACTTGACTGGGAGCTGCACCCTTCAGGGAGGTTTCCCTAACCCAGTCCCATGCTGGGCTGGGCGTTCAGGGTGCAGTAAGCCGAGATGAAGAAATCAGGACCTGCCTCCGAGAGCAAAGGTGCACAACCCGAGTCAGGGAATGACAACCTATTTTTCTTGAATTTAGAGACAGATTAAGGCAAGCAGGTGAATCTAGAGGGCGAGACAGCACATCTGCTGGTCAATCCCCAAGTTTTCCACCAGAGCTTTGCCAAAACACCCACAGTCTGTCACCCTTCTTCTGAGTGTAACGCAAATGTCGGACACTCATATGACAAAGTCCCTTACAGAGGTGGGGAGAATGGGCTGCTGGAACATGGTCTGTTTATAACTGAATTTCTGAGATAAAAACACACTCAGCACCTTCCTTGCCCTGTGAGCAAGCTGGTGTCACCCCTACCCCAAAATGCACCACACCAAACATCCCTGAACTTTCGCAGCCTGAGTGCAGAGAAAGATGAAGACTGCTGAGGCAGTCCTGAGCGGCGGGTGATGGTGCCAGGCACACAGCGGGTCTCTGCCTCTGCATGCATCCTTGGCTCGGCGCCATCCAGGAGGGCAGCGCACACTCTTGGGCTTCTTGCGCATGGCTGCTGCCCTCATAGGTCTGAGTGCACTTGCCTTGCCCGGGATCTCTGCTGGTGCAGCCACCGTTCCTTACCGAGCAGGGAGGGGAACAGACACCCCTCCAGCCTCTGGGTCCACTCGCGTGGTTTTACAAAAGGTGATAGAACTTTCTTACCCAACGTCATGGTAGCGTCAGTGTTTCACTGAGCTGGCCGAACTTTTAAACTTCTTGGTAATCTAGTCTTAGCAAGCAGTAAAACCAGCATCTGACCGGACAGGAGCTTGGACCAGAGAAGGGAGATCCAAATTCAAAGAACACAAAGAAGTAGGAGCAGAAGACGTGAGAACTGAGTTGGGTGGCTGCCAACAGCTCACACAGAGCCACCTCAGGGAGTCTCTTTATTTGCTCAGGGGTGAGCCCGGCCTCCACATGTGTCCCTAATCCTGCCAAGGAAAGTACAACCACCTGTCATCAGCATGTACACAGTATAGCTGGCCACGGTGCTGGACGGCAATGTTAACAGCTGAGCCTGGGTCCCCATGCTGATGTGACGCAAGGGCTCTCTACAAACCTTTCCTACGCACTGCAAAGTCACCCATCATGTACAGATGCAAGCCTCTAACAGAAACAACTCAGAGGCAGAAGAAACCTAAGCACGGCTGTGGAAGGACCACTAGCACCGAGAAGCACTCATTCTAGTCAGCTTCCTTGAATGAGACTCTGATGCTCTCCAGGGAATTCCAGCTGGATCACAGGGGATGCAGAGAAGACGACAGAAAGGAATGTGGGTCCTGAGCCTGCACGGCTCATTCTAAGAATAAAACAGGAACGTCACCCACAGCAGTCCAGGACTTCAGACACTGAGAAGGCTGGGGACTTCAGCATTTTACTACCTTCCCCTAGCCTCATCTCTCAATATCCCCACCAGTGTGCAGAAAAAGGCTCTCTGGGACTGCAGGACCCCAAAGGTACATGGCAGGGACAACCTGCACTACAGGCCTGTCACATGCTGCACAGGGCAGGATCTGACAGATAGATGCCCTTACTGCTTTTGAAGGTGAGGTGTAGCTAATGCAGATCTAATCTGGTATGAAAAGCAAACAAAATTTCAAGACATTCTTGAGATATTATAAGAAAAGTCAGGCATAGTGGTACAGGCCTGTAATTTCAGCACTCAGGAGGGAGGCTGAGGAAAGAGGATCACTGCAAGTTTAAGGCCGGGCTGGGCTGCATACTGAACTCAAGGCCAGTCTAGCCTATAAGCAAGTTCCTTTCTCAAAAGCAAAACTAAATGATAAAGCAAATAAAAATAAAGATGTGTGCCGGATATGGTGTCATACACCTGTAATCCAGGGCTTAGGGGCCAAAGGTGGGCTGGGGCAGGAGGATTTCTGTGAGTTCAAGGCCAGCCTGGGCTACACAGGGAAATCCTATCTGAAAACCACCAAAGATGTGATTTTTTTTTTTTTTTTTTGGAACCGGGAATTGAACTCAGGCCCTTGCACTTGCCAAAGAAGTGCTTATTCCACTGAGCCATCTCCCCAGCCCCAAAGATGTGATTTAAAAAAAAAAAAAAATGTGCAAAAAAAAAGGGGGGGGACACCTGCTTGTTAGCTTAGTTGTTTAAGTGCCTACTCATGCAAATGCAGTCAGGCGCAGGATACCAAGGTTCGATCCCCACCTCCACCTGCATTATTAGACCTGCCCTTAAGGCAGCCTGAGCCAGCCAAAAAAAAAAAAAAAAAAAAAAAAGAAGAAAGAAAAAAGAAAACAAAAAAACTGAGACCTTTGCTGTTGTCTGGCTTGGCTTGAGCACCCAAAGCAGCAATGGCAAAGTGGGAAAAGCAGCCCTGCCCAAGGGTCTTCAGAAGCTGCCAGACAATACTTCCGGTATCTCCCCTTTCCCCCAGGCCACTTTGCCCCCATCAGCGTCCAGCAGTGAAGCCACTGCTCTCCCCAGGATTTGGGTGAGGAGCAGCAGGGGAGGTTCTGCTACTACCAAAGGCGCAGGTGCTGGAGATACAAAACGGACTCATTTTATTACAGGCGTAAGGGTCTCTTGCTCTGCCCACCACAAGCGAGCCATGCTGACTTGCCCAGCAGCACAGGAAGAGCAACTGTAGCACACACTGGCAAACGTCCTCCTGCTCCGGTGTGCAGTGCCCACCCCAGGCCTGTAGGATGCGCCAGGCTGCGCCCCTGGGCCCTGCCCCTCGTGAGTGTCCTGTACCCAGACAGCGGTGTGCGTGGTCACCTGGAAGAGCTGCGCTCTTTGCTCACACAGTCGTCCTGTGAGGTGGTATCCCCGTTGCCCACCATGCTGCATGTTCTCCTCTTCTTCCTGCGGTGCATTGTCCCCTCGCCTTCTGACCCCGACTCACACTGGGCACAGGAAAGGAAAACGAGAGTTCAAGGGGGATGTGACCATTTCTCCACAAAACCAACCTGTGCCAAGACGGCACTGAGCACTGTCTGCCAGGAGCAAAGCAGCCACACAGGAGTTCCCAGCCCTGCCTGGGCGTCCACACACGCATGGGCTCCCTCAGAGCTCAGACTCCTCGAAAGATGCTGGTCTTTCCTGGCACGCTTATGGATGCCCCACTGCAAAATACTTCATAGCTGGCATTCTGAGATTGCTCTGGCATTTCATTGCACCAACAATGAGCTCAATGGGTCAAAGTGCACAGGCGCAAGTTCCCTTCCCTGTCCCGATGGAAAAAGACTGAATCAGTAGAGTCTTAGAGGGAGAGGAGAGAGAGAAGATCAGAGCTAGGTGCGGTGGCATAAGACTCCAGCAGTCAGGAGACCAAGGCACGGGGATCATCACAAATCTGAGACTAATCTAGGCTAAAGCCTGTTACACAGCAAGAGTCTGTCTCAAAAAAAAAAAAAAAAAGACAAAAATTAGCCAGCTAAGGTTATCTATAAGGATAGCTCTCACACTTGGGAGGAAGGAGGATCCTAAGTTTGAGGCCAGCTGATTGCACAGTGAGCTAAAGGCTGGCCTGGGGCCAGGGAGACAGCTCAGTGGCACAAGACCCTGCCTGACAAGTGCAAGGTCATTAGTTCAATTCCCAGTATCCACCCGCCCCCAAAAAAGGCTCGCCTAGACTACACAATGAGTCTACTTCACAATAAAAATGAATTGGGGGAACCACCTGCTCAGGCCTCCCCTCCTGTCCCTCTCTTGGACAGGAGCTTTCTTTCCCCCAATAAATATATTCTTCTCATAAAAAAATTAATGCAAATAAAATTTTTTAAAAGGTAGGGGATTTCATTTGCTAAGAGGTTAAACCATCTTACCTATCCTACTATTTCAGATTAACTGAAGCTGATTTTCTGGATCTACAGTATACTATCTGCAGGGGAAATTCTTCGCATGTACTTTGAGGTTAATGGGACATGAATCGGAATCATGAAACTGCTATTTGCTAGCTATGTAATGCTGAGCCATATAATCCTAAATACCCTACATCTTGGTGGTTAGCTGTCAGCCATCAGGTGGGCAAAGCTTGCCCATCTGCAGGAACAGCGACTCTCATGACCCTTAGGCAGAGGCAGGCTAATGTACACAGATGCCTCCAGCCCAAGGTCCCGTGCAGAAGAGCCAGGCCTCCCTCACCTCAGAGTCCGAGTCCGAGGAGCTGGAGCTGGAGGAACTGGAGGAGTCACTGGAGCTGTCGGAGGCAATGCCTGTGGATTCCTGGAGGTCAACAGCATCTGCTAGGACTGCCAGCTCGGGGTGCTCCTGCTTTAAGATCCTAAGAGGCAAGAGACGTTCTCAGCGCTGAGACAGTGCAATGACTTGACTCAAATCAAGATCTACACTGCATGGAGACACCTCAAGTGCCCGATGTTGACTCGGTGACTCTATACACTGCCCCACACCAGAGCAAAGCAGGCCGCCCACTTCCAAAGGAGACTCCATTCTAGTGCCACGCAATTCCCATCGCCTGCCTGCTGCACAGCTGCTTAGGAGGCAGTGTTCCTTTGGGTTGGACTCAGTTTTCTTTCTTTTCCTGTTTTTTTCCTAGTTTCTGAAACTTTCCTAGCTGTTTTGGTTTTTTAACCTTTCATTTTCACAGCACAGCACTAATGACAGGAGTTGGGTCTGGTTAGATTCTACTTGGAAGAGCAGAAACAATTATGTTTGTAAGACCTGCCGCCTGTTAAGGCCCTGCAGCGACCTTGCAGAGCACATGCTGGCCGACAGGTGGGCCGCAAGAGCCCGGGGTCCAGTGGAACAGGAGCTACCACCCTTGCGGCCTCTCAGAGGGAACAGGTGCACTGAACAAGCCAGAATCCCTCTCTTACCCCGAGAGCCGGTCCCTCCAGGTCAGGGTTGGGACACAGTGGCACGGGGAGGCTGGGGGTGACTTGCACTGCCGCTGCCCGTGCTGTATCTGGTCTGTGGATAAACAGAGGAGCTAAGTCTCCAGGGCAGTCACCTCACTCACAAGAACTTAAGGCAGTTAAGTTCAAATGGGAAGTGCTTCTGGGTGAGAAAAACAAATAACCAAAGAAAAACCTAAGCAAAAGGGTTTATTTTACTAGAGCTAGCTTTCAAAAGCAAACAAGCAAACAGACAACAAAACATAGAGAAATAATTGCAATCACGACCATGTTTTGACCGAGTGCCTTTGAACACACATGCAGAGGCTCCCCCGCCACCTGCAGGCTGCAGACAACCTGAGAGCTGGCCCTGACCTTGCTGCTCTCTCCCCTGCCAGCCTGGCCCAGCATGTCCCAGGCCTCTGTACAGAAGCTCAGCACGCCGTACAGCAGGGGTGGGGTCTTTGGATCTCTGGGACAGGAGTCAGAACAAAGCAAAAATAAGAGAGAAGTACGTCTCACCTATACCATTTCCTCGATAACTTTGGTCTTCCTCTTACCGTCTTGTGCCACACAACGGGGAAGTTAGTGCTGCTGGCAAAATTCTGGGTGATGGCAATGGTCGTGTCAAGATTGAGGACAACATGCCACCAGCCTCCTGAAATCCAACCAATAGACAGTTCAAGAAGTTTGGTCCTCCACAATCACAGCCCTTTCATCAACATCTATGGCTGCTTTCCTGCTAGAAGGCAGAGCCAAGCAACCTGACAATCTGAGCCTAAAATACCTGCTCTGGCTCTTTACCAAGATTTTGAGTCCTAGTAATCCAAAATTATGTTCCCCAAAACTGTAAAGGCAGAAAGTCCAACTGCTGCGAGGCTACTCATCCTAATCACTTTTTTTTTTAAATTTTATTTATTTATGTGTGTGTGTGTGGCCAGCTCAGCCCACCAGAGGGCGGGGCTGGCTGGCATGTGGTGCTGGGGGATTGAACCGCGGTCCCCATGCTCGGCCAAGCCTGTTCTTAAGTAGGTGCTTTAGACCACTGAGCCATCTCACCAGCCCCCTAATCACTTTTTAAAAATGCATTTAGTACAGGGTCTCGTTACATAGATCAGACTCGTAGTGATCCTCCTGTTTTCAGCCTCCCAAGTGCTGGGATTACAGGTGTGCGCCATCATGCCCACTCTCCTAATCACTTTTTGAGCCAGGGGGTCTTCACTATGTAGCCCAAGCTGGTCTTGAACTCATGGCCATCCTCCTAAGTGCTGGGATTACAGGTGTGTGCCACCCTGCTCAACCCTTAATCATTTTTTGAAAGCTTCACCTATTAAAGGTGTAATTGTCAGGTGTGGGTGTTCCTGACTCAACTGTATCAAAACCCTGCTTCACAGAAATTAGCATAGATTGTTACCCTGAGGAGATCCTAGGTAAGTACGAGGGACAGTTGCTCTCATTCTGCATAAGAGCTGCCCTGCTTGAGATGCAACTACAGTGTCACCACAGGATGTCACTTCATGTATCTGACAAGCATAGAACATTTTTTTCAACTCATTCTATATATAGTTTTACTCCAAAATGACAGCACAAATTACTGTATCAAGGAATGTACCAGTAAGGCAGGAGGATCCTTGAAAGTTCAAGACCAGTCTGGACTACAAAGTGAGCTCAAGGCCAGCCTGAACTGCATAGAGACCTTGTCTCAAGACAAAAACAATGTACCAGGTGGAGTGTAGCTCAGGGGCAAAGCACTTGCCTAGTGTATACATGGCCTGGGTTCAAAGGCCAGTTAAGGAGCTTAACTGTACCTGGGACAAAGACAGTCTCTCCTGGTTTCTGTAAGATTTCCAGGGGTTTGAATTCAGGTGGCCAAGTTGGAAGCTGTGTCCGGGGATAAATAACATTAAACCATGTAATGGCTTCATCTTGCTGGTTCCCGCCTTCTTCTCGGGTCACCTTGATGAGCTCCCGGGGGGTGCTTGTTGGGAAGAGGCACCAGCGCTTGTGGCCTTGCACTAAGGCATTCCAGGCACTGGTTCCCAGAGGGTCAATGTGAATCCCAGTTCCAGAACGTGGTGGCCCCATGACAAACCACCTAAACGAAAAAAAACAAGATGTGAAGGGGTTTTAAAGACTGAAATTCTGCTGGGTGTGGGGGTACACAGGTGTGGTAGTGTAGACCTATAATCCCAGCACTCCAGAGGCTGAGGCAGGAGGATCACTACAAATTCAAAGCCAACCTGGACTACGTAGTGAGTTCAAAGGTCAGCCTTGAACCATACAAGGAAATCCTGTCTCAAAAAAAAGAAAAAAAAAAAATCAAGTTCTTACTACATATTATACATTTCGATATTTTAGAGACAACAAATTTTGGTGCACAGAAGCATTAAGTGAATTGTGCACTGAATGATCTCAAAAAAAAAAAAAAAATCACTGAAGGAGCATAATTGCTGAAATTTCCCCAAGAGATCAGTGAATCAGCTTCAACAACACATGTAAATCACCTGGGGAGTCTGACTAATTCTGATATCCCAGGGCATCCCAGACCAATTAAATCAGTCTCCCCCAAGTTAAGGGGCAGCCATGGGAGACCCACTCGCTGTCTGGGAGATCGGCAGACTGCACTCTGGTACCTGAAGCTGTTGGGAGTGAGACCTTCGGCACCGAGCAGCAGAAGATTTTACCTGTAAGGAGGCCTCCGCTTTTCCCCTGCATATTGGAATAGGTCATCGGTGAAAAACTTGGGCACCTTGTAGTCCTCCAAAAGTTTCCTTCTCTTGGGGTGTTCACCATAGCTACTATCAAAGATGTAAAGGGGGCTGTCATCCCGAGTGCTCTCCATGTACTCAATGTAGTATTTCATCTTCATCTTCACCGAATAGCCATCGTTATCCTCTCCACACTTGAACTTCTGGTTGCGGTACTTCCTTTTTAGGCGCTCCAGAGTCCATTTCTCCTGGGCAGACCAGCCTTCTTGGGCATTCAGTAAAACCACGGGCTTGTAAGGTCTTTCGTATCGCTCCACGAATTCTTCCACGGACAGCTGTAAAGCATCTGCCCTTTCCACGTTATCCTAAGAGAATTAGAAAAGAGCTGTCTAGTTAAAAAAAAAAAAAAAAAAAAAAAAAAAAGGACCGATGATATAGCAACAAATAAAGGCCATGGCTTCAAATCCTAGTAAAAAAAAAAAAAAAAAAAAAAAGTCCGGTGGCAGATAAAGGTGTCTCCCAGAGCTAATTAGCAATGACATACATCGGCAATGAACGTGTCTCGCTCCCCTTGGGAGGGGCACGTGCGAGCGGGCACGTCGGGCCCGGAGCCACAGCATCTCCCACGTGTGGGTTTTGACAGCCGGGTCCTCTGGCCCCGCCGCCCGAGTGGTCAGAGGCAACCCCGCCACCTGGTTGGGAGGAGGGAGCCCGGCTGTCCGTCTGGACCTCAGAGATCGCGAAATCTGCGAGGCCCGCGCTCTGGACGCCGGGGAAGGTGTGGACGCCCGGCCCCGCGCCCGAGCCCGCTCACCGCCACGGCCGCAGGGTTCAGAGGGAAGCTCTCGTAGTAGTTGTGCCGAGTCCAATCCAGCGAGTCCTTGAGCTCCGGCCGCGCACTCCGCTTGGCCTCGCGGATCCGCTTCTTGCTCTTGTGGTTCATCCTGCAGGGTCACCAGCTGATTCCGCAACGACCTCGGTGCAGCTCGCTTCCTGCCACTAAGGCGCCCTTCCCGACCAGGGCGTTGGCAACGAGGCAACGACAGCACCTAGACGCCCTTCGCTCGGGTCCCACGCCTTTAAAGCCGCCTTCCAGAAAATTCACTCCCCAGCCTCCTCCCGAGCCGCGGGTTGGACGTAAGGCAACTGTTCTCCCCGCCCCACCGCATCTCGCGGTCCGCCATTGGCTTCCGCAGCTCTCAGCTCCACCTTCACAAGAGCCCAGTGGGCGCCATGTTGAGAAGGTCACAGCGTGGGGGTGGAGCCATACCGTCACTCTCCCTTGCGTCACTTCCTGTGCACGTCCCACTTCCGGCTGCGCTCCGCTTCTCTACTGCCCTCTTGTGGCCCAGTGGCCCCAGGGGGTCTTGCTCTTCTTACATTGTCGGGGATTGTGAGCCTTGGGCTGGTGCTGTGCTGCGCGTAGAGTGATCGCCCGCGTAGGGCGTTTTTCTTCTCGCGGTCGGGCGGGGCGGCGCAGAGCCACGTGGAGTCGGAGAGGCGGCTGCAGCCGACTGGGCGTCACGCCAACGCACCCTGGCAGCCCGGCGCTCGGCTGGCCCGCGGCCCGCCGACGGCCCTGCGGGCGAGCACAGTCCCCGAAGCCATGTGGCCCGGGCCCAGCGCTTCCGGTTCTCGGGGGAGAAGGGCTCGGGAGCCGAGGATGCTGTGCTGGAGATCCGCGTCCCGCAGGTGCGTGCCGTGCCCTGCGCGGTTCTCGGCTGACCTGGTCGGGGTGGTGAAGCGGGAGGGGCCTCAGCTCTGCGGCTTCCCGCTTAGGTAGGCTCCCGGGGCCGAAGGTTTGTGCTGGAGCCCTTTGGCAGACCCAGTGTCCTAGTAGGACTCCGGGCCCGAGCTAGGAAAGGCTCTTCTCACGTCGTCGGATGTGTGTGTGTGTGTTTTTTTTTTTTTTTTTTTGGTTTTCTGAGATTATCCTTGTCTAAAAGGCTTCTCAGTTCATCCTCCCCCCCCACCCCCGCCTTCGGTTTTGAGAATTGATGGCAGGGATGGCATGCGAAGAGCTCCACAGCACCACGTCATATTTCTCTGGGTGTCCAAATAAAGTTCCTTGGCTTGTCTCTGGTTTCTTCCTTTGAACTCATAGCAGCCAGAGATTTATTCGTTCTGCTTTTCAACAGGCAGAACCAGTTTGAGAGGAGTTAGAAGGCTGGAGTAGAACTCATTTCCAGTAGCCTTTAAATGGCGTCACGTTAAAATACTCAGGAATCTCTAAAGTGAGGGGAGTATGTGAACATTCTGGCCACGAATAAGGGCCCCGTTTTCGTTTTTCAAGACGGCCTCGCCGTGCAGTTCCCCTGGCCTTAAGCTCTCTTTATATGCAGCTCGGTCTCGAACTCGCAGTGATCCTCCTGGCTCTGCCTCAGTGCTGGAATTACAGGCGTGTGCCACCACCACTCGCAGCATAGGGCCCCCGTTTAGTGCCCAAATGTGCCCAACTCCTTCCTGGTTAGACATCCTTCACTGGGTGAAGTTTGTGGTACACCGCCCCCTCACTTAATGCCTAGCATCCTGTCTCCTTTCCGCCCATACTGGAGTGCCGGCTTTTGGCCTGCGCTATAGCCTCAGCCAGTTATTATCTACTGTTCGAGATAGCGTCTTGCTGGTTAGCTCAGGCTGGCCTTCAGTTTGCAGCGTGCCTCCCGCCCCAGCCTCCTGAGTGGTAGGATTTCAGGGGTGTGTCACCATGCCTGGCTTTTATTTTTTGAGACAGGAGGGCCTCACTAAATTGCTCAAATTGGGTTTTAAACTGTAGTCCTCCTGCCTCAGCCTCCCAGAGGATTCTGGGATTGCCCCCCCCCATAGCCTTTTCTGCCACCCATAGCAGGAGCAGTTTTATTGCTAATACTGGGTGCTTTGTGCCTGGCATTGAGTACTTTTTCTCCTGATGGAGACACTATTTTGCAGTTGAGGAACCAAAGCACTGACAGATAAGTAAGTAACCTGTGCAAGATCACACAGCTAGTATAAAAGTCGGGAGGGGCCAGGGAGATAGCTCAGTAGGATAAGTGCTTGCCTGGCAAGCACAAGGACCTGAGTTCAATCCCTGGTTATGAAAAAAAAACAACACAAAAGTCAGGAGGACTTTGAACCCAGGTAGGCTTACTGTGGACGTGAGTTGTGATGTCTTGCCTCTAAGCGGCATGCGCTCATGATTCTAGCTGCCCACAGCCTCTGAGGGCTGCCCTCCTTCCAGCCTGATTCGGCTTTGCTCACTGTGTCCCAGGACTGTGCACACGACTTACCCTTTAGCATAGCCTGCAAATTGCACAGTGTCCAGTCTCTTCCTGTTGCACTTTGAATAAATTCTTAACTCAGTCTGTGCTCAGCAAGACCCACAGGCCAGGTCCTTGCCTTACCTCTTCGGAGCCATCCTTACCACACCAAGGGCTATTTCTCCAGCCAGGAGGGCCTTTGACTCTTATCTGCAACAGCCATCTCAAGGTGCCCTCACCCTATTCCATTATGTTCTTAATCCTGGTTTACTATTTGTGGCATTTATCACTAACAAAAAATCTTTTATTGCCAGGGATATAGCTCAGCAGCATAAGCACCTGTGGCAAATGCAAGGTCCTGAGTTCAGTCTCTGGCACTGCAAAAAATCTCTTTGTTGCTTGTGTCCAGTAGGCTGCACTCTCAGTGCTCTTGGTTCTCAGGTACTGTTGAGATGCGTGTAGAATGCATGGAGAGCTGTGAAGTGTTTCATCACACTGCATTGCTGTTCTGTAGGCCTCACAGCTTGGGGCCCAGAGAGTGGAATTGTCATTTTTCTAATGGATGCCAGTGCCTGACACTGGTTACGGTAGACAGCCCTGCTTCCAGCAGGCTTTCACAGCATGCACCTTTTTCAGGTCCTGCATCTCCAGTATGGCATGTATGTCTGGCCTTGTGCGGCGGTCCTGGCCCAGTACCTCTGGTTTCACAGACGAGTTCTGCCAGGCAAAGCTGTATTAGAGGTATGAGGGTCCCTGCTCCTGGAGTACTGGGTTATGCGCAGTTGGTCTGCACACTCCTTACCAGGCTTGCTTTAAAGTGGGTGGTGCAGCCACAAGTCTGTTAAGTGTTTTAAAAAAAAGTGATAGGGGCTGGGGAGATAGCTCAGTTGAATAAGTGCTTGACTGGCAAGTGCAAGGTTTTGAGTTCAATCCCCAGCTCCACCAAAAAAAAAAAAAAAAAAAAGTGATAGAGGTGGCCCATAACACATAAAATAATTTAGACCTTCAGTTTGATGACTCCTAAAGGAAACTTGTTGACTTTCTTCTTGGCCCGGACAGCAGTCTCTGATGGCCTTTCCAAGGGTGGATGACGCAGTCATCCAGGCTGTACTAGAGCACTTCAAATGCTTCTCACAATTGGGCTGCCATTATGACAGAAACAAGTTTTTTGTTCTTTTGGTCCCAAAAACTGAACTCAGGTGCTTGGGGGGTACGAGGCTGCTGAGCTACATCCCTGGCCCTCTGAATTTCAGCAAAGGTCTAGGGGCTTGGGAAGTCCAAGATCAAGACCTTGATTCTGGCACAAGACTGCACCTCTTGTGTTTTCAACACTCCAGGGCCTTTTTTTTTTGAGACAGGGACTAGACTATGTTGCTCAGGCTGGCCTCAGCTAATCCTCCTGCCTCAGCTTCCCAAGTGCTGGGATGTGTCCCAGTGTGCCTGGCTTCCAGGGCCTCTAAGGGGCACTAATCCCAAAGCACCTCCTAGAGGCCTGCATCACTGTGGTATTTAGGTAGGCACAAAACATTGGTCATCAGCATAGCCCTTTGCGCGTCAGAGGCTGACAGCCTTAAAAGCTATCCCTCCCCAGTTTTCTCACCACTCCATCTGGCTTTGCTGAAGGCTTAGAAAAATCTTACCGTGTGTTGTAGAAATAGTACTTTCATGCTGATTCTTGGCTTAAAGTATTCCTGTTAAGATACTCACAAAAATATTTCTATGCCTGTCCATTCCCAAACTAGAAAATGCCAACCTTTTTTTTTTCTTTTTTGAACAGGGAATCCAACTCGGGACCTCAGGCTTGCCAGGCAGATGAGTCATATGCCTGGCCACCTCCTTTTCAGCAAGTCCTTATTCATTTGGTATCTTTACAAAATTGCCTCTATTTTCAAAGCCCAGTTAGCAAGTTTCCTTTAATAGAAGGCTGCAGACCTATTTTGCTCTAGTAAAGCAATTAACTTCAGGACCACAGCTAATGATACATGCCTGTTACCACTGTTAGCATCCTAGAGTGGCAGCTTTTAGAGCACGCTAAAGGCTGAAAGCCACAACGTAAAGCAGGTATCTCATAACTGCCTTTTGCATTGTAATTGAACTGCCCGGTATGCATTACTGAAGTTGGAAGCAATGTCCTTCCAAATGGAAAACTGGTATAATACGCACTCCTTAACCCAGTTATTAGAAAGGAGTTAACTTTTACCTGACAAGCATAAAACCCTGAACTTTTTTTTTTTTGGTGGAACTGGGGATTGAACTCAGGCCCTTGCACTTGCCAGGGAAGCGCTTAGTCTGCTGAGCCATCTCCCCAGCCCAAAACCCTGAACTTCTTAAAAAGACAAAACCCAGGAAAATAGATGCTCCCTCCTACCTCGGGTTTATTCAGCTCTATACTACCTTTCAGGTCTTCCTAGGACTTACCATGTTACAATTTGTTAAAGAATATGAAGAAATTTATCTAAGACCAAGTTATTTGCCATTCCAAGTAATTTTGAAATGCCATCTTCCATTTTTAAAAACTAGATTGGAGCTGGAGTGAGCCTTCCAGGAATCTTGGCTGCAAAATGTGGTGCTGAAGTGATACTATCAGACAGCTCAGAGCTGCCTCACTGTCTAGAAATCTGCCGGCAAAGCTGCCAGATGAATAACGTACCACAAGTGGATGTTGTAGGGCTCACTTGGGGTCATGTAGGTCGGGATCTTCTGGCTATACCACCACAAGATATAATTCTTGCATCTGATGTGTTCTTTGAACCGGAAGGTAAACTTTTTGTTGCCTAGTAAGTTTGACCAGAGATATCGCAGAATTAGCCTCCTTAAAGAAATGCCTTTTTCCTTAGATTTTGAAGACATTTTAAGTACAGTGTACTTTTTGATGCAGAAGAACCCCAAGGTTCAGCTGTGGTCTACCTATCAGGTTAGAAGGTATGAACAATTCTTATAATTTCATTATAAGGGGCCAAACAGGCAGTTTTTAAACCTTTTTTTCTTTTTTAAAGTGCTGACTGGTCACTGGAAGCGCTGCTCTACAAGTGGGATATGACCTGTGTCCATATTCCTCTGGAGTCCTTTGATGCAGATAAGGAAGATATAGCAGAGTCTACACTTCCAGGAAGACATACAGTTGAAATGCTAGTCATCTCCTTTGGAAAGACTCTCTGAATTATGTATGCCTCTAAGGGATTACCAGACAATGCCAGAACCCGACCACTTCAGCTTCAAATGAGCCTGCAGATGGACAGATGTGTTGGTCTTGGACTGTCACCTAGAAACATTAATGGGCTAACATTAACTATGGTGAACAATTAAAGCACAATGTGTAAGGACTTGGATTATTCTTTTTTTTTGTTTGTTTTTGCTGGAACCAGGGATTGAACTCAGGCCCTTGTACTTGCCAGGCAGGCGCTTATTCTACTGAGCCATCTCCCTGGCCCCTGGATTATTAAGCTTAAATGAGACTGAGTGGTTACTCAAAACCTCAATCAAGTGCTAGCTTTAAGCAATGATTTCAGAGTCAACTGGCATTTCTACTTTAAAAGCAGATACTATTAAAAGTAGCGCGAGTAACTCAAATTGCCTTTCAAATAAATGGAAAGAAACCAAGACATTTTATTAACACCAAGAAAACATTTTAATTAAACTACAGAAAACAATGGTTATAGTACAGAATATTCATAAGCAAAGATACACCATGTATTAAGTACTTACAAAGTTACAAACCATTTGTTTCCTTAACATTTTTCCGTATTTTAAGTTCGTACATGAAGATGATCAGATTTACCATTTTGGGGGAGTAGGGGGAAAAGGTGTATTTATCACCAGCTAGATGTGCTCACTGTATGCTCCGTTATTTATATGCAAGGCCCGGGTGACTGGAAGTGCAGTTGACAGGCATTTTAATAAACTGGACAGCCATTTGTTTCTGCACGACAAGGCATCTTTACACAGGAGCAATCGGGAGAAAACAGGAAACAGCCAAGCACTCTGCACTGCAACACGCCACCTTAACAGCTAACCAGCATTACTCAACTGCTACACAACTGCGCCTAGTGCACAAAAATACATAAGAGAAGAGATTAGAATTGTGTTTGGTAAACAATCCTTTCTAAAAAAAAAAAAAAAATCAAGTCTTTTTTCACCTGAAGTCTTTATACAAATTTGGGTTCAGATTACCATTTAGGTCTGAAAGTAAATAATATATAAACAAATTTACACCAACTTTTGTAGTTTTTAATTTTAAGGAATGAAGGCAATGTTGAGTCAATCTCTTGACAGCTTTAGGCTGTGTGTAATGGCTGCATACGTTTCCTTAAAAGTCAGGAGACCACAAATTAGGTTACCAATCTGTTTAATTTCAAACAAAAAAAGTCAGCACTATATAAGCAAAATGAAATTTTACCTCAAATATCCAATCCAATAATGAAATCTGAAGTCGTTCACCTCACTAAATTACAAGAAATTTGAATAACAGCAACAAAATGGCACAAAAAAATGAAGTTTGCCACCTGAGGCAAAGTTTAAAACAAGTAAAAAGTTAGACAAATGTTACAAAATAACCTTTTCAATAGCCAGCTGCTTGTTCCAAGGACTCTTCGATGGACCGATGGACTGAGTTCGTGGTCCTTTCCCCCAAAGTCCGGTTATGCTGCTTGCCGATTTATCTAGGTTTGAAAAAAAAAGTTCAGTTTACCTTCCCTTAAAAAAAGGTACCGAGGTGCACATGGTTTCAGTTTTCAGGTCTGTACTTACTAAGGCTCTGGTGAAACAAATAGGTTACAGTAAGGTTCCACCCAGCCATTTAAGAGGATTTAAAAGGCCCAATTAGGAAATTTTTCGAAGTCGTTATTTACAAGTTTGAATTATTTGATTTCTTGGCCAAATAACCAAGGTGAAAAAAAGGTAAGGGGGGAAAAAGGAAAAAAAAAAAAAAAAAAAAAAAGGGAGGGGGAAAAAAGGTCTGTATCCAAACAAAAGCAACATGAAATTACTCTACGTCTTAAGAAATCTTTTTCAAATGAAATATTTGGCAATCAAGAATGTTTTTATCCGAGCTACTTAGGGCCCTTTTCCTTTTAAAAAATAGGACCAAACAATTTGAGAGTTAAAGACACACTATCCTTTCCCCACCCAGCGCAATACCTGTAAACTTTCTTTTGGGGTTCCAAAAGCTCATTGCTTCGTATTTGCAATTCCTTTGCCACATCCATTAGAATATGATGTCCCAGTCAGTACAACAATAGTTGAACTGATCGTTTTGTTTTCTAACAGGATAGTGCATCTTTAACGTTTAAAGACAAACCTGCTCCAATACACGCCCACAGAAACTGGTCCCTGGAGGATCAGCCAAATCAGTTAAAATCTGCAATACTGGCCAATATTCTTTTATCAAACAGGAGACCGCAGCTTTAAAGGGGGAAAATGCAGACGTTGGATAAAAACAGCAAGAAATAATCATTTTCATTAATAGGTCTCAAAACAGTTCACGAAACAGCCATTATTATCTAAGCTTAACACACATCCTTCCTGCAGACCCCTCTGCAGCATCACTCCCAAAGCCGAGCACCTTCAGAGCAGCACTCCTGCCGCCAGGAGTCACCTTTACCCTAGCACGGCTACGACCTACTCCAAACCCCATTTACGAATCAAGGCTGTGTCTCGGGTCCCCACAGACATTACCGTTTTCTTACGAGGACACGGCTCCCTCCTCTTCTGGAGACTTGGGGGGGCTCTTGGATCGAGACCTGGACTTCGACTCCCTCTTGGACACGGGGGGAGGACTCCTGGACCTAGACCTGGATCTGGAGCGCGACCGGGATCTGGACACCGACGAGGACTTGGACTTGGACCTTCGCGCAGATCGGGACTTGGAGGTCGACCGCGAGCGAGAACGAGTGCGGGACCGGGACTTGGAGCGGCTGTAGCGGGATCGGCTGCGGGACCGGGAGCGACTCCGACTCCGAGAGCGGCTGCGGCGGCGCCTCCGAGGGCTGCGGGCGGGACGCGCGGGCGGCTCCGAGTGAGCGGAGCCGAGCCGAGCCAAGCCAGGCCTGCCGCCCCGCCCGCGCCGCCATTATCTCGCTACCAGGCGCCATTTGCCTCGCCGCGAGGCGGGTCCCCGCCCTGGGCCCCCCTCCCCCGCCCGCTCACCTGCGGCTCCGGCGTCCATAGCCGCCGCCCCCGTACCTCCGGGGGGGCGGCCCGCGGCGGCTGTGGTGCGAGTCCGGCGGGCGGCCGTAGCGCGCCATCTGCACGCGCAGCTCGCGGCCGTCCAGCACGGCCCCGTCCATGGCGTCCATGGCGTCTTCGGCGTCGCGTTTGTCGTGGAAGCGAACGAAAGCGAAGCCGCGGGACTCCTTGGTGTAGCGGTCCCGCGGAATGTAGACGTCGCCGACGCGCCCGTACTTCTCGAAAACGCGCCTCAAGGTGTCGGGCGAGGTGCGGTACGTCAGGTTATCAACCTTGAGAGAGGTCATGCCCTCCACATCGGGAGGCGGGCGACCGTAGCTCATGGCTGTGAAGCGGCCCGGGGGCCCCACGAACTGGCACCGAGACGCTAACGCTCTGTGCGGGCCCGCACGCTCTGACGGAGCGGCGGCTTCCTCAGGTCGCGGCGGCGAGACGCCGCGCCTCTACTCAGTCAATTGCAGTCCGCGTGGGGAAGCCAGAAAAAAAAAAAAAAAAGCACCGAGACACACCACAGCTAGTTGCACTTGAGCAGCAAATGAGCTGGCTGCTCGCCTCAGCACCCTTTTATAGCTCTTATCACAAAATGGCGCCCGCGCCACCCGGAAATAGATCCTCTGATTGGCTCCCTACGCACTACCCTGTAACGTCGCCCCCTCTCCTCCCGCCCCTGCCCATTGCGCCTGCGCAAGGCGAGGCGGGCGGCAGAAAAGCGCGCAGTCACGACAGGCGGGAGGGGGAGCGGCGTTTGCGGGCGGTTGGAAAGCCCGCGAAATGCTCTCGGCCGGCGAGGCCGGGCGAGAGCGCTCAGACTAGCGGAAGAGGCGGTGCCCGTCATTTGGGCCCCGCCCTCTTCCATGCCAGTGCCTATGCTCCAGTCTGCTCTCCTGTCCGCCTTTTTTTCCCGCCTTTGTCAGAGAGGTACTCTTGTTCCTGTTGGTTAGTGCCTCCGGCTTCGCCAGACCCAATCCCGTCACTCTAGACTCCCAGAACGCCTTCGCGGCGTTTCATTCTACGTCAGCGTTTTGCTAGATCACTGCCCTCTAACCCCCAGGGGCTGTGTGAGTAGTAGCAAGACCTCTGAGGGGCGCGTGCGCGTGCGCTTCACGAGCCGTCTGGACTACTACTCCCAGCAGGCGCCGCGGCCCTGGTCAGCTGACCTGTCTCGTGACCTGCAGTGAGTCAGGCCCGGCGGGCGGGGCCGCGAGGCTGCTCAGCCTGCCCTTGCCCCTAATACCCCCGCGGGCCCCTCAACCTGCAGCGGTGACATTCTTGGCTCTCTTCCGGTGTAGGGCTCTTCCCTACTCGGATCGTATCCCAGGAATGTCCTAACTGGGCCCGTTGGGGGAACTTCGCCCCGCGCCTGGGATTGCGATCCAAGAACTGGAAGTTGACAGCTTGGCTCCCGTGCTCCCGGATCTGCCTTCTGCTTTCGCCGTCTCCACCGTTTCACCGGGGTTGTCAGTGGGCTCGCCGGGAGGAGACTTGACAGTCCTGGGCCGCTGCTGACCTCCGGCAGAGCGAAGCCAAAATGTCCCCGGAATCCAAAAAGCTTTTCAACATTATTATTTTAGGAGTTGCCTTTATGTTTATGTTCACCGCCTTTCAAACTTGTGGAAATGTGGCGGTGAGTTGGAATCTGCTCTCCCTCCTTCGAAGCGCCTTTGCATTCTGAAAAGATTATAAAATTCATTTCTATCTAATAGAGTGCATTTTCTGTTTTCTCACCAGCCTTTCACGTTTTCTATGATGGGGTTTGACTTCATAGGTCAACTATTTCTCCTTTGTTACCGTTTATTTCTCCAACTTGATTTGGGGTTTGCATGTTGACAGTGGTTTCTTTTCTGTATTAAGGTCCGTGTTAGTACTTGGTCGGTTAAAGTAATAAGCTCCGAGGCACAGGTACAGTGGATTGTCCCCTCCCTCCCAGTGGGACAATGTATGTCTTCTCCAATTGTGCTGTCCTTTTTCTCCTTTCAGAGTGGACGTTCAGCATTAATGAATATTGGGAATCCAGATTTTTTTTTTTTTTCTGAGTGCTTGGAATCAGTCTTTCAAAGGGGAGGAAGGATTGTAAAATGTTTTCATTGATTAGTTTTATTCTCTACACAGCAAACTGTCATCAGGAGCTTAAATAGCACAGATTTTCACGGCAGTGAATATACCAGGTATTGTACTGCGTGCGTGATTTTACTTTGCATGTAATGGTAGTTGCTTAAGTTCCATCCGAATCACCATCAATAAAATACTGATTGAATTTGCGATGGCTTTTTTCTTCTCAGTAGCTAGACTGCAGTACTCTTGTTTGGGACACATAGTGCGGCTAAAGGTGGTGAGTTTAGTTTCCTGTGAAATTAGACGGCTTGAAATCCCACCTTCATAATTTGATGGCTTTGTTAGGTTCCCCAAGTTATGTCTGTGAACTCAGCTTCTTTGCTAAGAGTGGATATAAAGCCCTTGGCACAGTGGGTGACATTTAACAAGCATTCAGTATTGTCACAGTTATGTTTTGCCAATCCTAATCAGGTATTTTTTTGTGGTTCTTGGAATATTTTATCATCTTGTGTTATAATCTTGTAACAATTGTAATTTCATCAGAAGTTTTTAGGTTTTTGTTGGTGGTTAATCCTGCAGATAGAGAAAGTGAAAAGACTTTCACAAGCCACTATATCTTGAGATTGTAGTTGGGAATGTAGTATGTACGTATGTATATATATGCAAAAAGATTTCTTTAAAAATCAAGTTACAAAATTTTGTATATATATATTTCTCTGAGATTGTTTTAAAATAGGCATATATCATGGAGTGCTAAATTGGACTACATAAACAAGTTTTTTAACGTTTTTATAGTTACTTTATCGTGGTACTCCCAACCCAAAACTTTTTTTTTGAGACAGGGTCTCACTGTGTAGCTCAGGCTGGCCTTGAGCTCATCATGTAGTCCAAGATAGCCTCAAACTTACAGCAATCCTCCTGCTTCCAAGTGCTGGGATTGTGGATGTGAGCCACCATGCATGGCTCCCAAAACTCTTACACAGAATGAGGCTATTAGTGCTCCCTTTTTGGGTAATTAATAATTGCATAATTTTTGTTTTATTTTGAGACAGGGTCTTGTTATATGGTCCAGGCTAGCTCAAATTTATGGCAGTTCTCCTACCTCAGCCACTTGAATGCTGGGATTACAGGCATACACCACCATGCCTGACATCGTAATATTTTGTAGTCTTCATGTGTATT